TCACTCACTCTCTCACACTCTCACTCACTCACTCTCTCATTTACTCTCGTACTTACTCTCATTCACTCATTCACTCTCACTCACTCTCATTCATTGACTCACTCACTCACTCACTCTCTAATTCACTCATTCTCACTCTCACTCATTATTCACTCACTCTCATTCACTGACTCACTGTCACTCACTGACTCATTCACTCACTCACTTTCATTCACTGACTCACTCTCACTCACTCACTCTCTCATTCACTCACTCACTCTCTCACTCACTCATTCACTCTCACTCACTCTCTAATTCACTCACTCTCATTCACTGACTCACTCTCACTCACTCACTCTCTCACTCACCCACTCACTCACTCACTCTCACTCACTCACTCACTCTCTAATTCACTCTCATTCACTGACTCACACACACAAAAAAAAGAATAGCTGGCATGATAAGAAAAAGTGGGATTGTCGTAATCTCTTAGGGCTGCTAAAACAAAATACCATAAAGCACCTCTCTTATCAGAAGAGCAATTCCTTGTCTCACATGTCAGAAGGCCCTCTGAGGGCTCTGAGAGAGAAACTGTTCTATGTCGCTCCTGGTTTCTGGTGGCTGCTGGCATCTGCTTGCTGCTTGTAGTTTCATTTTCATCTGGAGTCTTCACAGTGTGTGTGTCTGTCTTCCAATGTCTTCTCTTATGAAACAACACTCGAAGGAACTAGGAGCCAGACCCAACCTACTCTAGCTTGACCTAATTGACTGATCAAGTTTACAAAGGAAAAGCCCTACTCTGCCAACAATGTCACATTCACAGGTGCAGAGGTAAGGATTTCAACCAGGCTTTAGGGGGCACAGTTCAATCCATAATGGGGGTCATTATGAGCATGCCAGGGTCGCCAACCACTGGTGAGAATATGCACAAGTGCCTTTAAGGGCCTCTGTTTTCAGCCACCCTGTGTCCTCACTGCCAACTGCAGTGGTGAGTAGCACCGCTTCACACAGGCTGAGCCACATCCTTCATTTCTCAGTCTTTTGTCACGAGCTGGGTGTGGGCTTCACATATGCTCTCCTGATGACTCTCACAACAACCAGTGAGCCTTGCTTCCCCAAAGAGGTGGCCTTTTGCAGGCTCTGACCTGTGGGCACAAGATTGTAAGGTAGATTTGGCAACGGATGTTGCTCATTTCCCAGGACCAGGTTGACCATTCGGTGTTGAGTTGGCCATCTGTGTCCTTGACACCAGGCATTAAACTCTCTTCTGGACCCCTCCTGTTCTGGCACTTCCCACTGTTCACCTCCACCCAGTTCTCCCCTAACCAGTCTTCATGCTTCTCCACCATTCATTTTACCTTTCTGAGAGACCTGGGTAAACAGGGTTACTCCAAACCTGGCCTCTTCCCAGTCCTGATCTGACACATTTGCTCGGCCACACCCTAAACCTGCCCTACTACAGCCACACCTTCATGACCCCGAACAAAAGGAGTTCCAGCCTTGTTCCCACGTAGGAGACTGTCTGCTCCACCATTTCTGCCTAATTCTTGTTGGATGTTCACTGCTTGGTAGCAGTTAACCCACTACTGTGAACACCCCTCTTGACTGCTTTGTCCTGAACAGTGTAAATACATGAGTTTTCGTTGTAGCTGGGACATGTGTAGTGAGGCATGGACATGGCTCTTTCACCACCCCACATCTATGTACACTCTAACTACTGAGCCATGAGAATGACCAACAGACCCCTAGGTGGGGCCAGAGCTGGAAGTCTTAGTGCCTTCAGGCTCCATTGTCTTGGTGCTCTCAGGACACCAACCCCGCTTCAGGCCCTGCCGCTGGAGCAACTCTACAAAGAAGGACTCACATACGGCCTTCTCCCTGGGGACGGACAACAGGAGAATGGGTGAAGGGAGACATCTGACAGTGTACATGACAAAATAATATTTATAAATTATCAAGGGTTCAAAGGGGGGGGGACAAAAATGAGGAGCTGAGCTGATGCCAGGGGCTTACGTGGAGAGCAAATGTTTTGAGAATGACGAGGGCAATGAACAAATGTACAAATGTGCTTTATACAATCGATGTATGTATGGATTGTGATAAGAGTTGTATGAGCCCCCAGAAAATGATTTTTTTGAAAAGAAAGGGCTCAGATGCTTTCATCAGCCTGTGGAGCCTCTACCTGTGTTCTTACAGACCTGCCAACTGCACCAGCGCACAGGCTTGGACGTGAATTTTCAGAATTCACACAAGCCTTTGTTTCATCACAGTGTTGCTGATTTTCTGCCCTGCCTTGGCCTGCTTAATTGAAAAAGCCTAATGGACCTACTTCCCACAGGAAATGTGTGAGCACATGCCCCTTGGGCTACTTCGGGGACATGGAAGCAAGGCGCTGTCGCCGCTGTCACAAAGGTTGCGAGTCCTGTTTGGGCAGAGCCCCCACCCAATGCCTGTCTTGCCGCCGTGGGTTTTACCTCCACCAGGAGATGAGCACCTGTGTGAGCCTGTGTCCAGTCGGGTTTTACGCTGACAAAAGTAAGTGCATGTCCACAAATACAATACTTGATGAGTCTGCCCTCTTTAGGGTCGTGCTCCCTCTGCTTCCTGTATCCACTGCTCTGAGGGAGGACATGCTACAGAGGATAGGGAGGAAGGAACCGGGAATCAAAGGAGTCAGCCCTGGAGTTTCCTACAAACCTGGTCCAGACAGTTCACGGTGGACCTGGGACAGCTGATTGATAGCCATCATCAATGAAAAGTGGTGAAGCAGCAGAGCTAGCCCTCTCAGGCTGAGTCTGACTTCAGATATCCAAAAGGAGTTCCAAGAGTGTGCTACAGGTCTGCCATCTCGCCCACATGCACCACATGAGTCTCTAGAGCACAGGGCGTGTGCGTGGAACAGGAAGGAGAGGAGTCGGCACAAGTGTTGGCGATCGGTGTTTGACACAAGGAGAGCCCTCGAAGGAGGAAATGCTAAGTTGCAGTGGGGTCTTCGCACAGACAGGAAGTGGACTGTCCTCAACAAAGGAAGATGAGCCTGGTGGCCGCTGTGCTCAGCCCAGGTCACCAGTTGCCGTCAGGTTGACTCTGACTCATGGTGGCACCATTTGTGTCAGAGGAGAACTATGATCCATTGGGTTTTCAATGGCTAGTTGGAAGTAGATCCCCTGGCCTTTCTTCAGAGACACTTCTGGGTAGACTCAAACCTCAGTATTTCAGTTAGCAGCCAAGCGGGTTAACTGTTTGCATGACTTTGGGCCTCAGGAGAGAGGACTGCTCATTTTCAAGAAGCACTTTACAGATACTGTCTTCTGTTTACTGACCACACTCCTGAGAAAAGGGTGAGGTGTTCTTGCCTTCCAGCTGGGGAATGAAGCTGAGAGGGAAGAAAAGGGCCAGACCTAGTAACAGCAGAGATTGGATCAAACTCAGCTCTTTTGCCATTCTACCTGCCAGATGGGCCTCCAGCACCAGCCACAGTAAGATGGGTGGGATAGACAAACGTTCAGATTTCAGACTTCATGCCGGTATTTCACCAACTCACCTAGCCTTGGAAAAGGTGTAATGGAGCGTTTTGGTTTAGTTGATGGAGTAAAGTTGTCAAAAAAGCTATGGAGAAGCAAGTGTTTTGATGTCCATGATGGTGTAGGTAGCATGCCTTCCAATTCTGGGTTCTAGTGAGCAGGAGGCTTCTTGACCTGCTGTAATAATGTTGCTTTTCTAGGATAAAGGCCAGGATAGCTTTAAAGTCTTTAAAAGCCTCATTAAGTGAGCAAATACTCAAGTAAGATTCATTTCACAGCTTTGTAAGTCCCTGCCCCAGGATGCCAAAGAGCTGTTTCCAGTGGGGGCTCCATCATACAAGCCTCTCCCATAGCAGCACCGGTCAGTTTCTCCCCAACCTCCTCACTCAGCACATATGGTATGTGGGTGATGCCATGGGGAGGCTTGGGATGAGGCAACCCTGACCTTCAAGGACCAGAACAGTCTCTCTTCGAGACAAGTAATCCACCAATCAGTAATCACATGGGGGTATTTGATTAGGTGCTGCAGGGTGTGACTTGGATTATACTTTATCCAAATGCAGGTGGGAGCTTGGGGTTACCATCAGTTCAGTGGATACCATCTGTGAAAGCACTGGACTGAGCACCTTGGGCCCACTTCTCACTTTGATCAATATTTGTACCTGATTAATCTCTTGGCTGGTCTGGGAAGGGGCAGGGCTTCTCTAGAAAGGAGCCACCCCTAAAGGTGCTCATTTGTTTGAGGACTTTCATTTACCCGAGGAAGGAGGGGCGAGAGACTCTGATCCCATACTTGGGCATGCTGTTTTCAGTGTGGCCTCTGGTTTGTTAATGAATTCTTATCCATTCTGGAAACTGGCCCTAGTGAAGAGCTGTTTCTTCCACCCCGTTTTTGCAGTGCTACATTCTTTTTTACCCAGATTTTATTCACCTCCATTCTTCCCCTTATTTTCCTTATCATTGCTGTTTTTCTCCAGGTCAGAAAAGCTGCTTTAAATGCCACCCAAGCTGTAAAAAGTGCACGGATGAACCAGAGATATGTACCATCTGTAAAGAAGGATTCAGGTAAGGCCTTCACTTTGAACTTGGAGAGTGCCAAGTCCATTTATCAAACTCTTAACATCTTCTTTTTAAACGCAAATATTTCAGAGGCCTTGTCAGAGCAAAGATGCTGCATCTGTCAAATCATGTTTCCACTTACAGATTATTGTGGGCTTTTTATATTGGGACTCTAGAGGATTTATAATTTCTAGGTTTTATTCAACATCTGGAGGATTAATAAAAGAAGCAGTTTGTGGTATTTTAAAGTAGAGTTTACTGCTAGAAGGATGAGGAACATTCCTGAGAGTTCAGCTATCCCCTCTTTTAAGCATCGGTATCTTCACCTCCTCCACTTTCCTTCCAAGCCTGACAAGGAGTAGACTGGTGGAATGTCCAACCTTCTGGCTCTCCAACCCCTCCCCTTTCCCCCCACTCAGTTTCTGGAATTTTCTCTAGTTGGGGAGTTTGCTCTCTGAGGAAGCTTTTTATATCCCTGGTTCTCCGTGTGCTTGTGTCACCAACCTCAGCCTGATGAGGCTCAGCATATCTTTCCTTTAAAACTCTTACTGGAATAATGCTTTTTGTTGGAATGTTTCTAAATGTTGTTTAGTCCATTGACTAAAATCCCCTATCGTATTTGTTTCTCCATGTAACTATGTAGAAATCTCTCCAAAGCAAACTCACTGCCATCAAGTCAATTCTGACTCAAAGCGGCCCTATAAGACAGGGTAGAACTGCCAAGCTTAGGGTGGAGGGAAGCTCTCGGTGTGGCCACGAGCTGAGTGCTCCGTCACTCTACACCCTGTCCCTTGGGAAGGTCTGAGACTAGGGCCAGCAGCGGCCCTAATAGGGCCCTCCCTGAGCCAAGGGGAGGTGAGTTTTAAAAAACAAAACAGAAAACTGCCAAGCTTGTAACTCTGTAGGGGTAGAAAGCCTCATCTTTCTCCCTTGGAACTGGCTGGTGGTTTTGAACTGCTGGCCTTATGGTTAACAGCCCAACTCGTAACCAGAGTAACACCAGGGCTCCTATGTTGAAACCTAGAACCTTCTTTATTAGAAAGTATACTGTGAACTCTCCCACTGTGGAACCCAAACCCACGTTTTAAAGAAGAAAGGGTAAGATTGGCTAAAGCAGCGCTTCTCACCCACAAATGTGTTTGTTAGTCACCATAGCTCTTATGAAAGAGCAGATTCTGGTCCAAACAGTGGTGGGGCCTGAGACCGTTTTTCTAAGCCCCTTAGGAGATGCAGGTGCTGCTGGTCCAGTAGTGCCCTTTGCATAGAGAAGCAATGAAGGACGTCAGCCTATCACCCTCCCTGCACCCCAGGCTCTTTCTATTCCAATGCTGTTGGGACTGAGTACATCAATGGAGACTTGTTATGAAGGAAAGAGGGAACATTAGCTCCTATTCCTGATACTTCCAGCAATGTCACCTCCTGCAAGCCTAAAATCGACAGTATCATTATGCCCAACAGGGCAGCTAAACACTTGAGCAGGAAACACTGTCACTGGCTCCGTGGGATTGCCTATACCTTGCCCCTTTCTTTCCAAACACTGAATTTGGGAGCAGAGAGTCCATAAGCCTGGGAGCTGGAGAAAGGACAGAAACAGAGCCCCCAAAGCTACTCACTAAATCTGCTATCATTTTAACCTGTAACAATAGGATGGACTAGTTAAAAGGAGATCTCCAGAAGGAAAAGGAGCAAGAAAGGTAGCAGGAGCAGCCATGTAGGTGGCAGCAGTGGCCACTGGGGGGCCTGGGAGAGGCCAGCTGCAGGTCTCACTCCTGATCAGCCTGGATGGGATGCCTCCTCCTGCAATGGATCCTCAACACCAGGCTGGGAATCGAAGAGGTCAAGGAGGATTGCCCTTGGTTCCAACTCTTTTGGCCCACTTCTCAGGGACTCCTCTCTGCTTCTGTGGAGAGGTGAGGTTGAATAGTCAGTTCAGGTTTGGTGTCATGGAGAGAAATTGTTCTTGGCAATAGCCGCACAGGCAGAAGCAGTGGCCCAGTGAAATCAAGCTTCCAGAAAGGTGAGCAAAATCTAAAAACTTTGTCAACCATAATCCAAAAGTATAGAAAGTATACTTCTTTTGTTACCCAGTATCTTCAAATAATTAATGTCGTGTTAAAACAGAGATCAAGGTACTACCTCCCAGCCATCCTTCGCTTTAGAGGCATAACCGCGGTTATTAGGGACATGATATAATGCACGCACAGTGTCCTTGGTTTGTGGTAAGGAAGAGTCCTGGGTATGTATTTGCCTTAAATCTGAGGGGCTTGTATACCCCTGGCCTGCAGCATAAACATCTTCCCCTTCAATGCAGGAGTCTGGGCCCAACAGATAGACCTAGTGAGCTTGGTCAATAGGTTTAAGGGCAAAGCCATTTGGACTGCCTAATTCACATGCAACATAATTTTGTAAAGTGAAGAAATACTATGTACACTGACTGTGCTGGGTGCTATCCTGATGCTGTGATGGTTATACTTGACTGGGCTATGATTCTCAATGGTTTGACAATTGTGATAAGTTCATCTCTCATGATGAGATCTGATAGTGTAATCACATTCATGATGAGAGCTGCTATAAGCAACCTATCAGTTGAAAGGGAATTTTTTCAGGATTATGAACTGTTTCCAATATATATGGATGTTTTGGCAAAGCTTGCTTGTTTTGTTTTTGTTTTTTCTTTGGTGGATCTGGTTCCTATTCCTGGCTCATCACCTCTAGTTCTTTGGACTCAAACCAGTGGCCTTCCCTGTTGCCTGCCACTCCTAGATTTATTAGCCTTTAAATCTTGTGAATTAGCAGCGTGCCACCTTATTTGCCAACCTTGACTTTATCTGCGCCTGGATCCAACAGCCTGCCATATGACCTACAAATCTTGGGTTTGCCAGCATCTAGCCTGAATCTGACCCAGCTTCTATCACCCTGTGAACCATTTTCTTAAGATGGTAGTTTATTTACCTTCAAGTCTTTAAGACCCTAGACACTATATCTTTTGATAGCCAGACTCCATCAGCTTTCTTCACCACATTTGCTTATGTACCCACTTTGTCTTCAGCAATCATGTAAGGAAGGTGAGCATCATGGGATGCCAGTTTAATAAAACAAAGTATTCTTGCATTGAGGGAGTACTTGAGTGGAGGCACAATGTCCATCTGCTACCTTAATACTACACCTATAAATGTATGCACATAGACCTATTTCCCCAACATCATATATAAATATGTTTACACATGTACATGCCTGTATTTACACCTCTATAAATACCCCTTGCCTCCTAGTTCCTTCCTCTATTTCCTTTTACTTCCCTCTTTTTTTTAATCATTTTATTAGGAGCTCATACAACTCTTATCACAATCCATACACATATCAATTGTGTA